TGTGTGTGTGTGTGTGCGTGTATTCCATCAATGTTCAAAAATCGGACAAAGAATGAACTTTGTCACCAGAGTCGATTTTAGTTATATTAGCTTCAACCTTGATTTCATGTTACCGTAGGGTTGATGGGAAGGGTAACTAGGTTCAGAAAAGTTTCTCTTGTTGGTCACTACTAACATGTGAGTTCTAATTGAGACAGAAGTGTGTTTTGGGAACATAGCTTGTATTTCACATCAAAAGATTGGGATGACCCGGTTGATCTATACAGTTGAGGATCCTCTCCATCCATTGTCAACTGTTTTTTTGGTAGCTTCTTTGAACACGTGCAACCAAAGGAAAGCCATGAAAGATTTTCAGTTGGAGTAAAATTACCTTTAGCTTGAGACTGGAATAGAAATTGAGTTTGATGTCTGTAAGAGAGACTCACTTTCGAACTCATTATACTCTTTGCCTCGAGCGTTCTAGCACCAATTTGTTAGGCATATTATGGCATAACCTGCTGTGTCAAGTTTACAAAGTTATTCTACAGACAATAGTTCAATAATAATGTTATAAACCCTGTCCTCCCTCCTTTTAAAGAGATCCTCTTTATTCCTTTGTTGCCATCAGATTACTGCTTTGTTTGAGCTCATTCAAAGAGTAGTTTTTACCTTTTTCCTGATTTTATGTATTAATACTGACGTTATTATTGTGTAATGTTATTGTGTTGATGTAAAGCATTCAAAGGTTCTTTGTTGCTGCAAGTTGGTCTCGTTTCTGACTACGACTTATTAGCACTGGACACCGTATCAGCCATCAGGAACTCTGACAAAAACATAATAGAAAGGCCAGAATTTGACTTTGTTTCCTAGATATTTTACAGACTTCTACATCACGTTTTGTTTTTTTTACTGTGTGTTTACCTACCTTGTGGAATTGCTTTGCGTTTCCATTTGAATGCTGCTGTTGCCAAAGTAATTGTTTTGCTACCTATCCGCACTGAATGCTCTGCTATAGTCAAATGTTTGGTTCACTGCATTAATTGAAAAATGTGACCAACTTCCTTTAATATGCAAAGTCTGGTTAAAGAAGGATAATGCAATGGAGGGCGTATACATCACATTTACTTCCTCTTTGCACTATTATTAGAAGCCGCCAAGATGTTNATGCAAAGTCTGGTTAAAGAAGGATAATGCAATGGAGGGCGTATACATCACATTTACTTCCTCTTTGCACTATTATTAGAAGCCGCCAAGATGTTTAGTGTTGATCTTCCACCAATTGTATCAACTTTCTTTCAATTACATTGTGAACATCCTTTTCTCCCTTGTAGCATTTTTAGCAACCAATTATAATAATTAAAAAAAAGATGAAAAACTTCATATAGCCCCATTTGTTGTGATGGTTGTAGTTTTTTTCCGTCTTTATAATTCCTTTTTATTCAACACTGTCATGTGCATTTTATTAGTTCTTCTGAGGCCGATTTAACTTCAGAATTGACAATTTTGTTATAGCAAGTGAAATCCCCTGTTGTCTATGAAGTACTATTATTAATTGATTATAAAACAAGTGTGCACTTGTACAGAGTATACAAGTGCTGTAAATTGGTTGATTCATTAATCACAAATTTTCCTTCTGCAAAATTGTCAGTTATTCTTGACATGACATATTTCTGTTAACAGTAGCCATTGAAACAAATACGACAACACATTTAGTCTTCTATATGCACATATAATGCAATGCGGTGACACAACGCGATCTATTGATCTCTCCTCTTTTTTTTTTTATCAACTACTTTGACATAATCAAGAATCAACCTGATTGGTGAAGCNCGCGATCTATTGATCTCTCCTCTTTTTTTTTTATCAACTACTTTGACATAATCAAGAATCAACCTGATTGGTGAAGCCAAATGCATTGGCTTGTGTAGTCTTAGTGATCTCCTGGAACTTAAAAGAGAAAGCATTCAGAGAATTGTCCAACCAAGGATTGGCACCTCTGGTTCTTCACAATGATTTTCAGACATACAAGAAGGTACAAAAGTTGCTTAGTAAAACCAATGGGAATGTGGTTGGTGAGTTGATGACACCAGCCCCGGTGGTTGGCCTTGAATCCGCTAATCTCAAGGATGCTGCTAGGTTCACTCATCTCTTCCCATCACATTTTTGCTTCACTTTTAACATTTTTAGTGTACGAGAAGACTCTGCCGTGTTTCTGCCTTTATCCAAAATACTGTGAACTTGTCTATTTTCTGTTTTAATCTCAGGTTATTGCTCAAAACAAAATTTCGTCGACTACCAGTTGTAGATAGTGTTGGTAAGCTGCTAGGAGCCTTCCATACTTCTTACTTTTCAGTAACTTCTTGTCCCACTGCCACTGCCTTTTAATTTCTGATCAGCCAATGAAACGAAAGCATGACATCTTAATTTGTATCAACTATGAAGGTGTGGCGAGGCAATAAGTGATCATCACACTTATTTCCTTTGATAGGAGATCTACAGTTGAACCTGCAAGCTCTGCAAAATGTCTGCCTAAACTATGGGAGGATTCCTTCTTAGTGAGTTATGCATTAAGAGTCCCTTCTGAGTTATATGTGTAAACAAGGTCAGGTCTGAAGGATCAATCGCTGCACAGACCAAATCTTTTATCAAATTTCTCGCACCAAATCAGTACTGATTGTCGGATTAATGGGTCTCATTAACTCTCACTAGGCATCCCGTGATTATTTGGTACACGAAATTTGGTCACCTCCTAAGATCATTACTTTCCATGTGTCCAATTATTGAACTCTTTTTAGATACTGAGGGTTTTGTGGGATTGTGTTTGTGGATTTTAGTGATTTATTTTTGTGGATTTTTGCTCGTGTTACCATAAGCCGATTGTTTGCTGAATTAACAGTAATCAATTTGTTGTTCCATTCTTCTAATCTATGTATTGCTCATTTCATTAGATCGATACATCAACTTAAAATAACATTATTCAAACCTAATTTATCTTCTTTTTTTTGGGTAGTGGTTGGGGGCAGGCAGAGATCTTCTGTAGTACTTTAGGAGTGTTGTTTCCTTAAATAATATCATTTTGTGTGCAAAACGATGTTGTTTAAAGAAACAATACCCTGCCAATAGCAGAGGAGCTGTTACCCTAGTAGTTGGGTAAACCGATTAGTTGACAAACTTCTCTGACTAAAAAGGTTCTTAGGGCTCATCTTTGGAGGACAGGCAAATTTTGTATGTACCAATCTAGACAAAATTGTTTTGTACGCAAATCCAGGTTGAATCTAGGACCAGGCAAGCACGCCCACTGAACCTAGTGCCAAATTTAAGTGGCAGCTCAGGGCCTCGCACTATAGCACTGTTCACAAGGTAACAAAGAGAGTAAATATTGGGTGTAACGGTAATATTATTTTATTAATATAATATGGTTTCATCAACTAATGGATAGTATTAATTATGACACTACATAGCATTAATGAGGTAGTTCTTTGTAGTTAGTAAAAAAATAAAGCTTACTAAGTCTGTTTAGTATTCTATTACTATTTGACGACACTACGTAACATTAATAATGCATCGTCACTATTACACTCAATATTTTTTCTAAAAGAGGGCAGTAATTTTAACAATTTTTGGGCAAATTAATCGTGTCGATTTATAATAGAATTTATATTTGATATGAATTATGTATATCTATAATATAAAATAAGGTAAGTTTTAATAAGTTCATCTGACGTTCTCAAATAAATTCATTCAATAACAATTAACATTTCTTTCAAAATTATTTACATTAAATTTTTCTTTTAAATCTATAACTTGTCACTTACGTTAAACCGTGTCTTCAGACACGAATTATCCTTATTATATATATATATATAACAACTTGTAACCCATTATTTTTTGTTGATTTTGTTTAAAGTACACTGATTGCGGTTTGCGACAGGATAAGACACTTTAGCTTATGAAGATGTACTAACCAACCAATCAACCAAATCAAATTTTATGTCTTAATTATTTAAAATTAAATATGAGTCCATTATTATCATTTATTTCAATTATACGATAGACATTTATTTAAGTTAAATATTTTCATATTTTTTCTTATTAATTTGTTCAATGTTAATTTAAATATATCTTTAATCTTAGTACCATTAGAATAAATTCTTTTATTTTTTTTTAATTTGTGTCTCTATCAATCTTTTGTTGAATATAACTAAATTATCTTAATTTATTTTCTTTCAATTTATCCTCGGTTAGAGTTACTCCTACTATTTCTCTTATACAATTGTTTTGTACTTTATCTTTTACATTTTTTCCAATGAAAATGTAGTACTCCCAAAACCTAAATTCAATGGAGTTTACAAACTGAAAAGCAGTGTCTAGCTCAGTTTCTGATTGAAACATAAAATTAGCAGAACTATTTGAGTGCGGTCACAGTTGCAAACTATACAAAAAATTGATATAAAATTGGTAAATTTAGATTTTAGGTCATAAATAAATAAATTTATTGTCCTTGTCAAATAAATGAATTAATAAATTAAAAATACGGGTATATTACAATTCCAATTATACGGAATTATCAAATAAATTGAAAAAATATGTTGTGTAAATTTTAAAACCACATACTCCCAGTCGCAGTAAAATGCAGTGCACTACAACCTCTCCAATCTAATTATGTCTGCCAGATAGGAAAGGTGATTTGACAAACACTTGCACTACTCTCTCTCTCCATTGGTGGAGTGTGGTTCCCACAAACTCGTCACCAAACAACAGTGGAGAACCAGAAAAATACCTAACTCAATGAATCTTATCACTTTTAGTAGTTAGCAAATGGCCACTTGCACCAAACGCAAGCTATTGTAGGCCCCTCCCTGTTCCCTCGTCCTCACCGCGCCCTCCCCGGACCCCAACACCACACCACACACTTTTTTTTTATTTTTTTATACGGGATTGACCAGGCTTGTACAATTATTTTCTCGAGATTTAAATTGATTTAAAATCATATTTCTTCGAAAATAAAGATTATTATAACTCGAATTAATTTAAAAATATATCTCTTAAAAAATAAAAATAATTAATCTTTAAAATATAAAAAATATTGAACCTCGATAAATTGTACAAGCCTTAACGTTCACCACACTCCCTTTTGGGTCCATTGTGATTTCACACTAACTCAACCCCCATTCTCTCCTCTCCTCTCCTCCTCAATCATCAAAAAAAAAAAAAAAACCTACAAAATACCCACAAAATCATGGTACGTAATATTCGCATAGTTTAATCTCAGCCCAGGGAATAATTGAAAGAAGGATAATAAATTTACATTAATTCCCTCTAACAAGTTAATAACCACCAAAACTGTTTTATCCATATCCGAAAAAAAAAAACCTAGTAAAACAAAGCAAAACAAAAACAAGAATAAAACACAGCACTTGTTCAAGCCTACCTGGTGCATGTTAGCACTTTATCAAGATTGCCGGAAGATATCTATTCATACTTGAAGATTCACCAGTTATCACCATCTGTGTCCTCTGGTTCGGGCTTTTCGTTCAAGTCTGGCTTCTCTTGAAACCAACAGGGTTTCAATTGAATCGATTCGGATTGTACTGGATGGTCGTGACCGTGGTTGTGGTCGTGGGTAGTCGTAGAGGACTCGAGTGCATCAACTCTAGAACCTACCTCTATAGCTTTCTTGCGTATAGCAGCAGCAGACAATTCATGGAGGCTACCACCACCACCACCACCGCTGCCGCCGCCAGAAGCTTCACTGACCAACAACTCTGGGAAGTTCAGCCGTGCCGATGGTCCTCTTAGGTAGTACACCGCCGTGTCATACGCTCTTGCCGCAGCCACCGGCGTAGCATACGAGCCTAACCAAATTCTGGACCGCTTGTTGGGCTCTCTGATTTCCGCTACCCATTTTCCCCACTTTCTCATCCTTATTCCTTTGTAAGGCCTTTCGCTCTTCTTCTTCCCAGAACAACACCCACCTCCATCTCCACCTCCACCTCCACCTCCATCCATCTCTCCTCACCTCTCTCTCTCTCTCTCTCTCTATGGGCAACTTAAATTCTTTCTCTCTCTGACCTGACCCACTTCAAGAAATTATAGAGAGAGAAAGATAACCCATCAAAAGAAGATGGGTTGTGGTGTGGTGTGGTGTGGTTTTGGCAGACTACTTGGTACTAAGGTTCTTNCTCTCTCTGACCTGACCACTTCAAGAAATTATAGAGAGAGAAAGATAACCCATCAAAAGAAGATGGGTTGTNTATGGGCAACTTAAATTCTTTCTCTCTCTGACCTGACCCACTTCAAGAAATTATAGAGAGAGAAAGATAACCCATCAAAAGAAGATGGGTTGTGGTGTGGTGTGGTGTGGTTTTGGCAGACTACTTGGTACTAAGGTTCTTGTCATACGGGTAAACACAAGAAAATATAAAAAAACATATATAAATGCACCGACACAATATGTATCTCTCTCTCCCTCTCTCTCTCTTCTGTTCTCTCTCTCTCCAATTCGCTGTATTTATTGCTGATTTCTTTTTCAAAAGCTAGGTATTACCTTATAGATGATAGTTGTTGGCAGCCATGTAGAGCTTGAAGAGGTAGATGCTTTTTTCTCGCCTTTGCAAAACTGGGTTTTGTCTGTTTGGCTCGCAGGAAAAAGAAAGTGAAATGGAAAGATATTTGTGTTTGTGGGGTGTTTTTCATGGGAGGTGGCGTCTTTAGGGTAGTGGAAAAAATTAGAAAATTCAACGGCAGTTGTCATTTGCTATATAATGAGGACAGAGAAAGTGTTGTATATTATGTTATGCATTATGGTGAAGAGAGAGAGAAAGAGAGAGAGAAAGAGAAAGAAAGAGAGAAAGTGATTATTGTGATTCGTTTTATTTATTGTTTTTCCTTTCAATTTTTTTAGGAGGTGGAGGGTAGGTCGGTGGTCGGTGGCTGGATAGATACCGTTGTTGNATGAGAGAGAGAGAGAGAGAAAGAGAAAGAAAGAGAGAAAGTGATTATTGTGATTCGTTTTATTTATTGTTTTTCCTTTCAAGTTTTTTAGGAGGTGGAGGGTAGGTCGGTGGTCGGTGGCTGGATAGATACCGTTGTTGGCTTGACTTTGCGTCCCCAGCAATAACGATTTCTGGGATTTGACTGTTTTACCCTTTTCCACAATTGTTTATTACCTTAGAACAATTCAAAAAATCTACTTAAAATATCACTTTTAACTATTTTAGATAGTTTCTCTCTAAAATATAATTTCAATAGACTAGTTATTTTTTTATCTATTTTTTATAACTCCATTTTCACTAGTTATATCTAACTAAGCCACTTTTCTCTAACTACTTTAAAAGTTGTTGGTCTAATATTTGGATGAGGTGATCGATGGAGAGACGATGACATCTAGTTTGATCAAACTCGAAACCTTCAAAAGTTTTCGATCAAACTCGAAAGTTTTGAGATAATTTTGTTTTAAATTTTGTGATTTAATCTGAGAGAATTTAGTTTGAGAGTAGTAATTTTCGGGAGATGGGTTCTCTCTTGTAACTTATAATTGATTAAATTTGTACAATGTATAGTTAAATTGCTATTTTTTGAATTTTATTATTGAAAGTTAGTTAAAGTTAGACGAAGTGATTAGTTAAAATAGATANTTTTATAACCCTATTTTCACTAGTTATATCTAACTAGTCACTTCTCTCTAACTACTTTAAAAGTTGTTGGTCTAATATTTGGATGAGGTGATCGATGGAGAGACGATGACATCTAGTTTGATCAAACTCGAAACCTTCAAAAGTTTTCGATCAAACTCGAAAGTTTTGAGATAATTTTGTTTTAAATTTTGTGATTTAATCTGAGAGAATTTAGTTTGAAAGTAGTAATTTTCGGGAGATGGGTTCTCTCTTGTAACTTATAATTGATTAAATTTGTACAATGTATAGTTAAATTGCTATTTTTTGAATTTTATTATTGAAAGTTAGTTAAAGTTAGACGAAGTGATTAGTTAAAATAGATAACGTTGTTTGAGTGAATTTAAAAAAATGATTAGTTAAAATAGATAATATAATATTTAAATATATTTTGAATAATTATTTTAAATAGCATTGTTGAATATGCTCTTATATATTCAAAGGATGGATAGTTCACTAGCTGAGCTTCAACGTTTTTTATATTTTTCAAAGATTNAGCGTTATTGGAGTGAATTTAAAAAAATGATTAGTTAAAATAGATAATATAATATTTAAATATATTTTGAATAATTATTTTAAATAGCATTGTTGAATATGCTCTTATATATTCAAAGGATGGATAGTTCACTAGCTGAGCTTCAACGTTTTTTATATTTTTCAAAGATTAGGCATCATTGTTTTTTGAAGAACATATTTTAAATTCGTTCGAATTATTGTGATTAATATTCAAAGTTAAGAGAATAATNACTATTTTAGATAACATTGTTGAAGATGCTCTTATATATTCAAAGGATGGATAGTTCACTAGCTGAGCTTCAACGTTTTTCATATTTTTCAAAGGTTAGGCATCATTGTTTTTTGAAGAGCATATTTTAAATTCGTTCGAATTATTGTGATTAATATTCAAAGTTAAGAGAATAATTGGCTAAAATTTTGACACATTATATAAAATAAAAGAAAAGAGAAGGGGTTTTATTGGCACTTGAAAACCGACATCATTTATATATGATATTTCACATGAGGTGAAAATTTTATATTATGAATTTCTTTATTCCCTATGTTTATAATTTTTTTTTGTGTAGAAAAAAGGAAAGACAATGACGGATGAGAGGGGAGAAAGGGAAAGATATAACCGTGTAAGTTTTCCATGTAATTATGAATTTGTCCTTTAATTATGGCTTCTCATTTTATTTTGATGTTTATTAAATATTATAATATAAAATATGACAGATTTTAATAAGTCAACGACAGTCTCGAATAGATTCATTCAACGGTCACTATCATTTTTTTTCTTCAAATTTATCACTTTTTATTTGTGTTACATTATATTTTAAAGCNGTTTTAATAAGTCAACGATAGTCTCGAATAGATTCATTCAACGATCACTATCATTTTTTTTCTTCAAATTTATCACTTTTTATTTGTGTTACATTATATTTTAAAGCACGAGTTATTCCTAATTTATGCTATGATAGAACATCTAACAAAAAACATACTTTGAAAGTAAGAAAGAAGTCAATAAGTAGTGTACGAATATCATGTTTTTTAAATCGATAAGGATTCTACCATAATAGATATAAGTCTCTAAATCCCAATCTTGTTAGTGGGACTCTGAAATCTTATGCTCCGTTTGGATGAAAAGAGAAAAAGTAGGAAGGATAGAAAATAGGAGGGATATATTTTCTATTATTCAAGGAAGGAAGGTAGGAATGATACATTTTCCTTCTTTTGTATTTGGTTGAATGAATTAAATATAAAAATTATTACTTTTTTTTTTTTGTGTTGGCTAAGATTAAGAGTGACAATCAAGTCGTGACGTGTCGTGTCAAATTCGTGTTGATTCATTACGGGTTTTTGTTGAATATTAGTCGAACCTAACTAAAATTATTTAACTAATTGTATCGTGTCGAGTTACGAGTTGAGTTATTTATTTTCGTGTTGTATTTATGTTTGTATTCGTGTCGACCCACATAAATAAATAATTAACTTTTCATTCACTTTCCTTTTAATTTTGAAGGGATTGATTTTAGTGAGTTTGAAGAAAAGTTTATCCATTATTTTTTAAACATTAATCTTGATGGATAATGATAAAACCCAAAAAAAAAATTAAAAAATATACAACTTTATCTTACATCTAAAGAGATTGTCAAAGATTTTCCTCGAACACATAGGGGTAATGATCATGATCAAAACTTGTGAGAGATCCTACTCTCTAGAGAAAGATTAGGCAATTTGTTGCTAATAACAGTGAATAAACTCCCATGCTATGAAAGTGTCAAGTCACTGGGTTAAAGNGATTTTAATAAGTCAACGACAGTCTCGAATAGATTCATTCAACGGTCACTATCATTTTTTTTCTTCAAATTTATCACTTTTTATTTGTGTTACATTATATTTTAAAGCACGAGTTATTCCTAATTTATGCTATAATAGAACATAGAACAAAAAACATACTTTGAAAGTAAGAAAGAAGTCAATAAGTAGTGTACGAATATCATGTTTTTTAAGTCGATAAGAATTCTACCATAATAGATATAAGTCTCTAAATCCCAATCTTGTTAGTGGGACTCTGAAATCTTATGCTTTGTTTGGATGAAAAGAGGAAAAGTAGGAAGGATAAAAAATAGGAGGGATATACTTTCTATTATTCAAGGAAGGAAAGTAGGAATGATACACTTTCCTTCTTTTGTATTTGGTTGAATGAATTAAATATAAAAATTATTACTTTTTTTTTTGTGTTGGCTAAGATTAAGAGTGACAATCAAGTCGTGACGTGTCGTGTCAAATTCGTGTTGATTCATTACAGGTTTGTATTGAATATTAGTCGAACTTAACTAAAATTATTTAACTAATTGTGTCGTGTCGAGTTACGAGTTGAGTTATTTATTTTCATGTTGTATTTATGTTTGTATTTGTGTCGACCCACATAAACAAATAATTAACTTTCCATTCTCTTTTCTTTTAATTTTGGAGGGATTGATTTTAGTGAGTTTGAAGAAAAGTTAATCCATTATTTTTTAAACATGAATCTTGATGGATAATGATAAAACCCAAAAAAAAATTAAAAAATATACAACTTTATCTTACATCTAAAGGGATTGTCAAAGATTTTCCTCGAACACATAGGGGTAATGATCATGATCAAAACTTATGAGAGATCCTACTCTCTAGAGAAAGATTAGGCAATTTGTTACTAATAACAGTGAATAAACTCCCATGCTATGAAAGTGTCAAGTCACTGGGTTAAAGAAAAGAGAAAGAAAATAAACCCCCCCCCCCCCCCCCCC